TAGGGATGTTTTCTTGATGTGCACTTAACCTTTATAAAAAACTCTCTCTTATACATGAGTTTCTGTGGATTTGTTCCTCTAAAGTACCCAGACTAACACAGATGTGTTTCTTGAAAGCTGCATATTTCTGGGTTCTGTTTTTATCCAGTATGTTACACTTTGCCTTTTGACTGTGCATTTACATTCAGTGTCAATATTTGTGGATTTGTTGCCGTCAATTTGCGCTCTCTCTCTCTCTCTCTCTCTCTCTGTGTGTGTACTGTGTGGTGCTATTTCTTTGTTCATCATAAATTTCTGTGCCGAGTTCCTTTTGGTTGTGGATTATCTTGTTCTTGTTTCTCTTTGCTGATTTTGACTATTTGCTAGATTTTTATGATCTTTTAATTTTGTTGAGGTTTTTCTTTCTTTGGAGATACCTTTCTACTTATTATTTTCATCCTAAGTTTAAGACGGTCCCTCCTGTGAACTACTTGACTTCTCCATTCAAATATTTGTTTCTGTTTTGTGTTTATCTTCGTTGCAGATTGATATCATTGCCTCCCTACTTTCAGTTTTATAAGCTTGTTTTATTCTGAGCACTGCTTTAAATGGGTTGACCTCAGGCTGATGACTGTTGCTGTTGTTGTCTAAAGACTGCCCGCCCCCCTCGCCGCCCCTTAGTATTTTTGTCAAGTTGGTCTTGTTTTTAAGAATTCCCTTAATTTCTCCTTATCTGGAAATGTTCTTATTTGAGGAATACTTTCATTTTCTTGCTTGTATGGTTTCACTGAACCATTCGGGCTTATTCTTATTGGTCCTTTTTTGTACATAACTTTTCTTAGTCCCAAGAAGATTTTAGGATTCTTTCCTTACCCTTGAGATTGAAAAGCTGGACTATGATTTGCCATGGTGATTTTCTTTTGGGATCTATCCTGTTTGGGGTTCTCATCATTTCTTACAGTTATTTTCTCTTCTTTTATGATGGTAGGTGTATTAGTCTGGGTACTTTGGAGAAACAAATCCACAGCAACTCATGTATAAGAGAGAGTTTTATGCAAAGAAAATGTGCATCACGAAAACAT